ACTTTTGACCAATACCAAAAATGAAAAAATAATTTTATTGACCAGCAACAGATCAGAAAATAAAACAGCTAGAACGCAAGTAATGCAGGACTCAGACTGTAGAACTAGAACTGAGGCTGTAGAACCAAGACTCAGGCTGTAGAACCAAGACTGACTGTAGAACCAAGACTCAGACTGTAGAACCAGGACTGAGGCTGTAGAACCAGGACTCAGGCTGGAGAACCATGACAGAGGCTGTAGAATCAAGGCTCAGACTGTAGAACCAAGACTCAGACTGTAGAACCAGGACTGAGGCTGTAGATCCAAGACTGAGGCTGTAGAACCAGGACTGAGGCTCTAGAACCAGGACTGAGGCTCTAGAACCAAGACTCAGACTGTAGAACCAGAAGTGAGGCTGTAGAACCAGGAGTGAGGCTGTAGACCCAGGACTGAGGCTGTGTAGAGCCAGGACTGAGGCTGTAGAACCAGGACTGAGGCTGTAGAACCAGGACATTATTTTTTAACTTGGGAATGAAAGTTCTCACACACGTAACAGACAACTATTTTAAGTTAGAGCAAAATAATACATGGTTCTGTTGTCGTTTTAGAAATAGTATTCATACAGATTATTTTGCCTTTACAACATTCCAAAAACATATCTATAAATTAATGTATATTTCATATTTCTGATAAAAACCATGTCCCATTAGAAAAAAAGTTTCTCAAAGGAAACCCTAATATGTACACGCCCTACTTTGCCTAAGAAAACAAAAACAGCAAGGGATCGTCTATAGATTGATCAAAGAGTCCTGCTTAAAAACTAACCAGCTGCTAATCCCAGTATGAAAGAAGGAAACACAATATATAATCTCTACATTCATTTAGTGGCTCACAATCTGTTTAAAAATGAAGAAATTGGTACGATTGATGACATTTATCTCAGTATTAAGCACACACACTGCAAAAAGGGGTAAAAAATAAAATACAAAAATGCTCAAATTTGGCTAAATGTATGTTAATTTGAGCACACTCTGACTGCCTTAGGACACAATTTGTAAAGAAAAGATCCAAGAAATGTCTCCTTCAGACTGAGAAAATAGGCTTTGACTTCGTCTTAAAGCAAGAGTTTCCAAAGGGACAGTCAGAATGTACTCAGATGAAGATTAAGTGTATATATTTTTGCACCTATTCATTTAAAAAATAACCTCCAACTGTACTGTAAAGCCCGATCGTCTCCCATAACCGACTGCACCTCCTGTCTCTTCCATGCATCGCCAATTATAACTCTCTACAAGTCTAAGTAGTTCAAGACCCAAGTTACACAGTGCACCTCCGACTACTTCCAAAATAGAGCAAGCATTACCCAAGACACACTCTCGCCGCGAAAGGCCTCGGGAAGCGCACACTTCGAAAAACTCTTGACGGTATGGAGGTAAATGACCCTGTGCTTGGGAAAGATGAGAGAAAAAATAACCGTATAGCTGTTGCTTCCTTGGTCTGGCCGTCCCGGAAGCTTAAAGCCCCCGGGCGACGTTCGTTTAGCAAGTTGTTTTTTACACGGCAGACATCGGACAGATGGAGTTGGCTGATTTATGGTTCTATAAACAGCAACTCTCATTAGATCTCATTATGTCTGTGTGCTCTGCCGTCTTTACAGAGATGCCGTAATTTTGCGGGAAAGAGATGCAGTGTGGAAGTCGGAGCGAGAAAAGGACAAAAGAAAAGTTTGTTTTGGGTCGTCTGTTGCGCTAGGACGGCGACATCTATCTATCTATTGTGGAAAATACACAATAGATAGATGGATACTTCATAGAAATGCAGGTGTGCAGGAGCAGAAACACATCCATCCATACAAACTAAAATACTTAATTCTTGTCGACTTTTTTTTTTACTTTTACCTAACTGTGTGTTTGTCCTGGATTCAAATAAATAAAAAAATACAATACATACATTCAAAAAGGTCCAAAACTTTAGGTCACAGCAGCAGAGGTGGTGTAGCCGCCGGTGCTGAGCTGCTTCCTCTGGTTGATGTCTGCAGAGTTTGCTTGGTTCAGACTTTTTTTTTCCCTGCTCTGGTTCAGAGTGAAATTCTAAATGCTTTATTTGAATTAAAAAAAAAGCATTCCTCCAGTGGATTTTTGCTTGATCGGCTTGGTTTCGGGCCGTGCATCCTCTCTGCTCTGGTCTGGTTCGCTGTAAAACCATAAACTCTGTACTGCATTTACAGGTGGAAAAAAAAGCAGGAACAATAACAATTGTAAAACACTGAACAACGACTGTTTCAGAGTTATTTAGGACTCGCTGTTGTTTCCAGTGTATTCAAAACATAATGAGATGTTGTAATGTTTCCAGCACGAGTGACATTGGGTACAAAGACGAAAATTAGGCCGCTACTATTTAGAGCTATTAACAGGACAAGAAACATGCTGGAACTCTACGCAAAGAACCAAAAAAAAAAACAGACCCTGGCCCCATCCCTGTGACTGGACCGCTGTTGATCCTTCCAAAATTAGAGGCAAACCAAGTGAAGGACTCCAACCCAAAACAGAGAGAACTTTAGCGGCTACTCGTTAAAGAAGCAGTATGTAAAAAATCTGGCCAAAAGTGGTACTGCAGCCTCTCCCACTCTCCCTGACTCAGGTTGCCAGATATGCAGACGATTCCGGCTGGGACCATATTATCTGAATAGACAATAATAACAATAGAGTTTTGTCAACAATAATTTGAGAATCCGAACTTTACCAGTGAGATTAGCTCGACGCGGTGAGTTCTGGCCACTCACTTCCCAGACTTTCTGATTGATGAAACGGTGGAGGACGGGACATCAAAACAAAAACAACACGGTTTAGGGGCTGTAAAACAAATTTTGACTGTACTACTGTTATCAGTTAAATAAGTATTTTAAAAGAATGTGTTTTATTAATTTATTATTAAAATTAATTTTGACAGATTACGGCCCTTTAATGACTTCAATATTTCTACTTTAAAACCTATGATGGGACATGTAAGGACATTTTTGGACATATTAATATTTACCATATTGGTCATGCCACTTCCAATAGCTCCTATGTGTTTGTCACTATCGCATTTCCCGGCCAGTCCCTGTGCTCCTCAGAGTCACAGATGCAGTTTGGTGCGAGGCCATGGAGAGAGTTGTACCCAAACGTTCTTCGACTACTTCTACCCATAGCTGCATATACGTACGGGTGAATTGGAAACAGGAAAGTTGTCCCCATCCTTCCCTCACACTCAGTCATCTCAATAACAACATATTTCGACGATCAAGTTCCCGAGGTGACAGATTTCTCAGCCGGTGACTTGGCGGACTGAGGCGAGGTCACACTTAAGCCCACACGGATTCACTTCTTCAGCCTGGAAAGCATGTGATTCAGTTCCCCCGAGGTTCCACACTGGGCCACGTGACGCTCTGAGTCATTTATGAGGCGTGAGGGAGACACCAAAAAAACAACTTTTTTTTTTCTTTCTCCCAAAACCGACTTAAGATGACCTTAAAATCAAAGCAAATGTGTTTGGTTGTTTTGGAAATGTCACAACAGGGGAACATTAAGGACAGTGGTGATGATCCTCGACAACCAGCGACATTTATGGACATTTATGGACACTGTTGATTCTCTAATCTAGGTTAGTGAATCGACAGTTGTGTAAAGTCCACTGAGATAACTACTGTAGGGATTTAGGGCTATACAAAAAGGCTGTAGAACAAACCTAACCCTAAGCCCAACCTTAACTCTAACCCAAATTGAGCGGGAAAACTGCCAAAATTTATTTTGAATGAATGGACCGGTCTGGGAGATAAACGGTAAACATATAAAGTATATAAAAACAAATATATAAAACATATACAAACTTTATGGAAGTTTCATCTGGACAAACTTTCACCATCAAAACAATCATCAATTGTAATACTACCTTTGTAGTTTATAGACTTGAGTGTCCCTGCGGCCGCTTCTATGTAGGCCGTACAAAACGGAAACTGAAAAACAGACTGGCCGAACACAAGCAAGCTATAAGGACAAAAAACCCACAATATCCAATGGCTCTACACTACAGAGACTCCAACCATGGAAGTTGCAGTAGCCTGAAGATCTGTGGCATTGAGCATATTCCAGAGACAATAAGAGGAGGAAATAGACTCAAGACATTACTTCAAAGAGAGTCCTACTGGATATATACTTTAAAAGCCACTCAATTCCCAGGCTTAAATGGGGAGTTGGACTATTCTCCTTTTCTTTAAGTACTTTTCAAAAAAGACCATTGATTATATTTCTTATATATTGTATTCTTTATAGGTGTGTATATAATATTTTGCACTTTGTTTGGGAGTTTCAATATTTTTTCCAGATTTTAAACCTTGTGACTGTAGGCCCGCCCACTGGCCATGTGACAAGCACCATTCTCTTTAAATCTGTACTGAGACACTCCTCTCGAGTATGCCCTGAAGAAGGCCAGAAGGCTGAAACGCGTAGGCATAATTTTAACCTCTTTTTGCCATGTCAAATAAAGGCTTTTAAAGATTTTTTTTAACTTTTGAGTGCCTCAGTCTTCTGTCTAAACTATCAACATTGGTCCCTCCACTTACTTTTTTCCTCATTTAATTTTTACATCCAAGAAGCACTCCAGCCCCGTCTACTGTTTTCAAACGTATACAATTTTTGTATGATTAAAAAAAATAATCATACAAAATAAATCACAATATAAAATAACAAAGATGCATGAGCACAATAAAAATTTTTTTTTTTTAAAAAGATGCATGACCAGAGTTTATGCTTCCATTACTAAAACATATATCTAGTGTTAAAAGTCAACATATAATAATAATAACATTTTATTCATAATGCACCTTACATTTTCACAAAACCTCAGAGTTCGACGGATTCAAATGTCATTCAAATAAAATAAAAATCTAAATGCACAAGCTATCAGATAAACATTGAGGATTAAAACCACACAAAACTCATGTTTTTTGGGGTTGCAGTTCCGTGACAGTCCGCTAGAGGGCATCAGAAGCTCATGCCGCGCTGCTGCTGCTGTGGTGTCTCTGTGGCGTGTGCGTGAGCGAGGGTTATGTCACGGGTTCTCTCTCTGCTCTGTGTCTTGGCGCGGATACAGGAGGCGAGATTCTGTAAATTTAGATTCGCGAACAATGGGCTGATGCCTCCCTGGTTTATGCCCGTGTCCCACTTACTGCAGGAAGAACCAGCTTTGTCATTGAAGTAAGTCAGATAGAGGGCGGGGGGGCTGGGTAGGAGAGGAGGGGGGCACACAACAGCCAGAGCCGGAGCTGATTGGTTGGTTAGTGCTCTGTCAGACATGTGATAGGTCGAACAAGTTTGAAAACAGAGAAACCTTTGAGTGTATATGTGTATGTGTGTGTGTGCGTGTGTGTGTGTGCGCGTGTGTGTGTGTGAGTGTGCTGGAGATCAAACACTGCTCTCTTTTGCAGGGGATTGGTTAAGAGCAACAACAAAAAAAGTGGATTTAAAACTCAAATTTAAAATGCAAGAATTGATTAGGGTCAGGCCCCGAGGCTTTTGTCAAATAGCAATAAAAAGAACAAAAAACAGACTTAAGACCTTCGTCGTGTTCGTCCCCATCTTTATTTAGCGCGCTCTGTAAATAATCAACGATAAAAAAGACAAAAGATGAACGGCTTTATTTAGACACAATTACCATAGATTTATTTTGGGAGTTTGTATAAATGTTAACACTAAAAAAAAACTGTTTATTTGACCGCACATGTCACCGGTTTTTCATTTGTGCCGAGAATCATAGTGATGAAATGTTCTGTTATTCAAATCTGAAACGTTACGATCATGGATTTGATTTCATTATTATTATTATTTTTTCCCTACGTTTACAGACAGGCTTGGAGCAATACCAGGCCTGGCCACAGTGTGTCACTATAGAGCTACTGGCATATAAACAAGTACAATGTTATGTTTTGACTGCAATTATGGCAGTGTCTCCAAAACCTGCTTCTCTTTTGTACCATGTCATCCTATGAAAAAAATATTGACACTGTTCCAAGTCATAGGACGGCAATGACTGTGGGAATGCTTGTTGCTATGGATACTGTATTTATTCTTTTTTTTTTTTTCAAGTTGGGGGATGTAACTTTTACAAAAGATGTGGCTCTTTCACAGTCAATTGTTTACTTTTTTGTTTGTTTTATTTCCGTACTTTAAATCCTGTTTATGTGTCTTTTTGCCTTGTGCACACTGGGGCCTAGTTTTACTGCAAATGGCAAATAAATGAATCTGAATCAGACGTTGTGGCAGTAAAACCTTATAGTTCCCACTATGCGCGGTACAGGCCGCCGAGAACAAACGTAAACAACAATGGCAATGGCATATTTTTAGTGGTAGGGGAAACCGGAGTTCCCGGAGGAAACCTACGCAGACACGGGGAGAACATGCAAACTCCACTCAGAAAGGCCCTGGTCCGACCGGGATTCGAACCCAGGACCTTCTTGCTGAGAGGCGAGAGTGCTATCCACTCAGCCACCGTGCCGCCAAAGCTCCAGTTTTCTTTTCCATTTTCGCCGCTGCTGTTGAAGTAAGTAAGTATTTATATACCGCCTTTTCACTGCAGATCTGAGTCTCAAAGCGGTTTACAAGTGTTATTTTTATTTTTTTGGGCATTTGTCTCTCACTCCACACAGAGATGGGACCGGGGGCACCAGTACAGGAGGCGCATGCCAGACCTATTGTACATATTTTTAGTGGTAGGGGAAACCGGAGTACCCGGAGGAAACCTACGCAGACACGGGGAGAACATGCAAAGTCGACTCAGAAAAGCCCTGGTCCGACCGGGATTCGAACCCAGGACCTTCTTGCTGAGAGGCGAGAGTGCTATCCACTCAGCCCCTGTGTGCTCTTGCTACTGTCATGTATGTGCGCTGCAACTTTGATTTTCTCCCCCCGCTGTGGCACAATGAAATGATATCTCATCTTAATTTATCTTATCTTAAAAAGTCACATCCTGTCTGACATTACCGACAGTTTGTGACATGCCCGGAGCGTCCCTCGCACGTGTTTAAGTGGAAAAGACATGTTGTTGTTGCTCATAATCAGCGGTAGGAGCCCATTGATTGCGGTGAGATCGTCGCCATACATCACGGTAGGAGCAGGACTGGTGTTGATTAAGACTCCCGCGGGGGAAGGTTTAAAGCACAGAAATTGTAATCACGCTGACTTTGAAGGAGGAGGCTATTTTTATCCGAGTGGGTTTGTGTCCGCGGCTCCGTTAGGACAACACTGGACGTCTCAATGTAAGTCTGGTCACCGGCGAGACCACGGGGGCTGGAAAGAGGAGAGACATGAGTAGGTTTTAATAATAATAATAATAATGTTTTAGTTTAATAAAGGGATTTTCAGAACTCAAAAACGCGTCACACTCCATACATATCTGTAGTGGTAATAAACTACTAATGGAGAATTCTGACAGAAGCGAGGCAACCAGTCTACCAGTCAATAGCTGCGTTTCCATTGAGCATCAAATTTCGAAATTTGAATTTGCGCATCATAAAATGTCTAATGGAAACGCGCAAATTTCGAATAAACCACAGTTTTTCGATAAAAAGTTAATGCGCTTAAAATCGGTGGTTTTTTGGACGTATCGAAATTAAGTTTTTCGCAAAACGGCAATGGAAACACTTATTTCGATATAGCGGAGGAAGCCGAGCTGCTTTATTCAGTGAGTTTTGGCTGCGCTTCGTGTGGAGACTTGGGAGATTAGTGGGAGAGGCATGGGGGAGAGACGGGGAAGAGGCATGGGGGAGAGGCATGGGGGAGAGGCATGGGGGAGAGACGGGGGAGAGACGGGGGAGAGGTATGGGGGAGAGACGGGGGAGAGACGGGGGAGAGGCATGGGGGAGAGACGGGGGAGAGACGGGGTAGAGGCATGGGGGAGAGACGGGGGAGAGACGGGGGAGAGGCATGGGGGAGAGACGGGGGAGAGACGGGGGAGAGGCATGGGGGAGAGACGGGGGAGAGACGGGGGAGAGGCATGGGGGAGAGACGGGGGAGACAGGCAAGACCCGTGTCTATGGTTCTGTGCGCGCGTCTATGGTCCGCGCTCGGTACATGACCACGGCGTTCGTGGAGCTGTCAAAGCAGCCACAGTTTCTCCCGGGGTCAGAGGTCAGAGAGGATGAGAGCCGCAGCAGAAGTCAAGACATTAATATATCTCACGTAAATCAAAGTGTTGTTTACTTCTGTTGCCATGTTGACGTACTAGAAACTAGTGAATAAACGCGCGAAAATAGTGTATACTTATTCGAATATGTCTTAATGGAAACGGCCGCTTTTGCGAATTACAGGTTTTTTCGAATTTTGAAATGTATCAAAAAAGTTTTTGCGCATTATTCAATGGAAACGCAGCTTATGTCATCGGCCCCTCTGACCGCACCTGCCAGTCACTCACACGCGCACACACACACACACACACACACACACACACACCAGACTCATTCTAATGCGGGTGAAGTTTCTAGCCTAAAGACACAATGACAGTTTGACAGCCGCAGCCGCCCCACTGTGTTGTTCTGCACCTTGTGTTCCCAAAGGTCTCCCATCGCAGCGCTAACCAGGCCCTTCCCTGCACAGCTTCAGAGGTCGCGGATCTGACTTTTGCACACGGTTATAGCCACATAATTTTAAAGCTACCCTGCAAAAAAAAAATAAAAAAAAATAAAAAATGAGGTAATAGCAAGTTTGAATCAAGTTTTTATTTTATTTTAATTTTGAGCACATTCTGACTGTCTTCCAGAAATACAAATCTTGGTTTAACCCTTGTGCCTTCTTCAGGGTAAAACAATCTAAACATCAAAAAAAAAATCCCAAATCATATTTTAGAGTTGGATTTTGATGATTTTCCCCAACTCGACTAAGGTGTTTTTCTTCTACATCTAATCATTTGTGGCGGGTTGTTTTGACCCAAGAACAGCACAAGGGTTAACAAGGAGCTGATCCGTGTAATCACGCCGCATCTGTGCATTAGTCAACTTTGTATTTGTGTCATCGGGCAAGGCACTGCACAACAACCCCAAATGAAAACAGGTTAGTAGGTTATCCGGTGAGTTCAGGCTCGCAGTATGTCGCTGTTGTTGCAGAAGGTGCGTGGGATCCATAGACGACATCATCTGCAATGGGCGCTCGGGGCATCTGCTGCTTTTTCCCTTTATGCTAACGTGAATAAATGCATACATCTATATCCATGCTAATACACTGCCTCACTAACGCCACACAAGCTTGGGAACATGGCGGGCCGCTGATTTCAATGATTGGCGCAGGGAGTTCAGCACCACGGACAGCAACACAGCCTTATCATTTCATTAGCTGGTGGTGAAACAACGAAGCCACGGCGGCTAGTACAGAAAACACGGTGACTGCACTAACTGTGTTTGAGTAGCTGCTTGTACAGGACTAAACATATTAGGACTATGGGTCATTTTGGGCGAGTGTTCCAAGAATTAAATAAATAAATAAAATATGGTAAAAGGCTTGGACAATGGAGCAGTTTTTTTACAATGGGGCTTGAGAAGAACCAGTTTGAAAACCAATGTCCAAAAAGAGAAAAAATTGTGTTGGGTTTTGTGGATACTTGCACCAATAGTTACAAGTCTAGTTTAGTTAAAAACAAAAATGGTACTAAAAACGGAAGGTACAATAGAAGAGAAATTGTACCCAGTCTGTAAATTATATATTTTTATTATATATGTATATACTGTATATATATTTTTTTTTATGAGCAGATGTATAGAAATGTGTCAGAAAATGCAAAAATATGAAGCCCAATTTTGTTGGGATATTCACCAAACGCAAACCATGTGTAATCTACATCTCAGCTCTAACATCTCACAGCTTGGAAGCAAAAGGCAGATGACATTCCCACCAAAAAAATAAAAAAAAACATCCATCCTTCCTTTTTCTTCCGCTTCATCCGTTGCCGGGTCGTGGGCAAAAGACACGCGTGGACACGAAACAAAAACGAAAAATATATAAGAATGGTGGAAGCAAAATACGGCTTTCCGCATGGCCTCGGTCCTCGTTCTACAGCCTGAGTCCTGGACCTACAGTGCGTCCACTGGGTTTTTAGAGTATTTCCTTCCAGATACAGGAGGGTCTAAGAACAGAAATGATTCAGGACACCATATTTATGGTCTCAATGGCTGTATGTATTATTTATCCTTGCATTTCCATTGATTCTCTGATCTGTGTTGGCGAATCGACAGCTTTGCCGAGTCCTCCGAGGTAACTACAGGTTTGTATTTATGTCTAGGACGCCCTCAAAAATGAGAACGATTCGCCTT